AAACTGTAAAAGCCAGAAAATTAAATTATCACTGTGCCTTTGCCCTGTCCCCTGTACTGTGTAATACAACACATCTAGAATGTGATTTTATGGTCTTTGGTTACATTATCATAATTTTTTTTAATTGGTCAATCTCAAAAAGCCTGGTCTCATTCACCCTCTGGGACGCACGACAGAGCAGACCAGCGGTAAAATACCACGCTTCATCCCAGCAGGTTTTTTTGTTTCCATTTTATCCCTGGCCCTTTCAGGGGGCATAATGGAAGTGCTGAACTCAGCAGGGTCATGCGGGATCCCCCCACCTCCACAGGGCATGGAATATGAGAGCCGTGGTGATTAAGGCCCGTAATGTGCAGTGAGGCCTTTTGAAATCACATGATATGGACAAATGTGGCCATTTAATGGTAAGCGAGAGAGATGCTGTGAGCAGGCGGGGCTGTGGGGCGGCTGCGTCGAATGGAATGGATGACAACGGCATTTTTACAGCTTTGTTTTCTCAAACTGGTCATTGTGGGCTCAGGGAGGGGAAGAAAGGAGAGTAAATAAAACAGCCAAAGTAAATGTGTTTGGAAAATAACCCCTCAGAGTCCTTCGCCTTTCCTCTTGCATCAATAGCTGATTTCTTTGGTGAAGATTCTATCATCCATGCTTTGTTATCACCCAAAGTCTGCAGAAGCACGCCGCCGTTGTTTCTGCTGATCTCAGCCTGCAATATCACAGTTTGCCTGCTAATCCCACCCTTTGACCGAAGGATACTGTTATTGAGCAGGTGATGCCATTCGGTTCTTCCCAGTGATGAGACAAAGCAGGGTTGGGGGATTCTGGCATTGCTCCCACCCTCATAGGAGGATTTGAAATCGAGCTTGCTGTTATCTTGTGATAGGGCAGTATGTTCACTTCTAGCTACTGCCTGTGGATGTCATTGTGGAGCTCTCTCTCATGTGCTGCTGGAAGGCCAATTCATACTTCACTTTCCCCCGTGTGCTTTCAGTTGTAGACAAGGGCACACGATGTAATTTTGTCATCAGGGGTTGGCTGCAGCGTGTAGCCCAGATTTCTATGCCTAGCAGAAACTTTGCACATCCTTGCACATCGATCATGCATGTGCAAGATAATTCATTAGGTATTTCCAGTAGGCAGCAGCGTGAAATTTCACAGATCAGCGGTCAACGATGTTAAAGTAGAGAAAGAATAGCTGTTTTTGTTGCAGTAGTTAAAATTCACTAGTAAAATTCACCGTTGGGGGCTGGGTTGGGGGGCTAATTTTGTCATAAAGATTTCAGAATACTGTGGTCTTCCTTAGTGCAATACCGCCAAGCCTTGACTAATAACTTCAAAGCTGTTCATAAAAGTTTACCAGTTTCACTCCACTGTTTGTATTTGTGTTTATTCCTTGTTGCCGTCTCCTGGTCTAATGGTATGCCATGTGGAGATCCGTCTGCAGCCCGAAAGCACAAGAAAGAACATGAAAGCGCACGCTGGAGTATGAATGAGGCTTGAGGCTCTGAGGAAGAAAGATATAAATAAGTGGTATATTTATACAGGACTTCTCATGACTCCCAAAGCACTTCACAGAGGTTGCTTCAACCACCTGGATAATGCAATAGTGGCCATTCTGCTCACCATATAGTAGCTAAGATCTTTTATGCCCTCAGAGAGTCAGGAACTCAGTTTCATGTCTCATCTAACAACCAGATCACAGGATGAGCTACCCTGTCACTATATTCAGGGATTAGAATCCACACAGACCACAGGATCAGTTACCCTGTTGCCCACACCAACACCTCATCCAGCAGCAACTCAGCTTCCCTAGCTGGTCTCCCATCCAAATACAAACCAGGTTCAAACCAGCTTAGCTTCAGATGGATTATCTAGCTTGAACCACAGGTGGCATATGTAGAATATACAGACTGAGGGGCCATTTTCCCCAGCATTAATATCCCCTGTATACTTTTTAACTTTTGTCAGATTCAAGCAGTTAGTTTGTATAAATGAAAAAGCATTTTGCACATTTATCATTTTTTAAGCTACAAAGAACTCAGTAAAGAAGTTTTTCATTGTAAACTGCACTCATTGCAATATGTGCACATGGAATTCTGACTAAAGAAATATTCATCGTAAAAAGCTTTATTTTAAACATTAGGTATTATTCATAACTAGTCATATTGTAACCATAGCAATGGAACTTAAACCAGACGGTGTGTGCCCAGTTCCCAGAACACCTGACTCCAGCCTTCAGGAGCTCTATATACCTTGCAGGTGTGTTGGGAACTGACTGTGATAAAACAAAACTGTGAGTCAATCCAATGTGACTCAGGGAAAAACTGAGGTAAGGTACAGATATGCTAGTTTGACCACTATTGAGAGCTGCAGATTTTGATGAAAGCCTTTCAGCAGTTAAAAGCTTACACAAACCTTAACATGTTCTGTATTTTTCATTTCTGCTTTTCTCACAAGAGCTATATACTGAGAACAAACTTGTGCTGCTAGGAGGATCAGCAGAAACATTATCCCATGTTGGCCTGGGTATCATATTAATGTCCACTGGAATCTGTGTTTCTTTTCCTCGTTCTCCCAGGGATTTAAATGTTTCTATACCAAGTACGTTTTTAGGCGAATCTTCTATTAAATCAAGTGCTATTTCCACATATGGTGACACAGAATCATATGCAGATACAACCAGCATGAGAGCTTAAAACATCCAGCAAAGTCCTTAAGGAAACAACAAGGGGGAGGGACTGTCAGCAGAAGAATTCCTGATGTGGGGGCTGGTGTGAATTTGTTAGCTGATTACAGGGTATAAATAGCACTGCTTGCCTGTTTTTAGGCTTTGCTCTGGGATCCTTGTGTTCACTGACAAGCGAGCACTCCACAGTTCCCTGTCACCTTTTCTCCTGCCCCTCAGCTGTTATTACCGCCCTCTTTACTTTCTCCACTCCTTGTAATATTCTGGAAATCCTATAGCTTCTGAGCTTGGTTTTGTTTCGGTTTTCGCACCAGGGTTATTGCCACCTGTCCCAGGTCCCTAAGGGAGATAAAACACTTTGCGAGGGATAATGTTTATGCATGGAGGAAGTGAGATAAAACGAGAGGAATTCTTCTTCTTCTCCTGTCACATATTGATAACTTCAAAGCCCCGGTCTGTGCGCCTCCTTCCAGGGGTGTCGGGACAGGGCCGTGGCTAAACAGCATTGTGAGAGGTCACAGAGGACAGGTTGGCACTGTGTGGATTCCTTGTGGGAGGCTTGGGGGGGAGCATTTGCATAGCAGCAGAATTGCAGCCTGTGGAGAAGTCATGGGGGCATTAGATTATTAAGGCCATGAGGTCACCAGAAAGCTATCTGAGATTCCTCCTTGACCTTCCACCCGGGGGTCAGAAGGGGTACTATCAGGGAAACATGACATGAATTTCTGTTTTTTTTCTTTTACCCCTTTAAGGTTATCACAATTTCATTTATGGTTATTAGTTAATATTTAAAAAAAACAAAGAAATAACAGGCTTTTGTACTTAACACCAATTAATTTCTCTTCATTTGGACACAGTGCCCAGTGTGAGGTAGCTACAGCCAAGGGTGGCATGGTGACTCATTGGGTCGCTCTGTTTTTGTTTTTCGAGTCATATCATCAGGAGCTGATCTAATCATCCATGTATCCACCATTCTCTCCTCTTATCGAGAGAGTACAGGGTTGTGTGGGCAGAACAGGGCAGAAGGCAGGGGCTAGGCTTAGGTTTAGGGTTAGGTTTAGCCTGATGCTAGTCACAAGGCACACAGACACAAACACAGAGACACACACATACAGTGGTGGTTCTAGACCATTTCAACTGGGAGGGCCAGACCTGGGCCAGTTGTTCTGTTAGGGGGGGCAGATGCATTTGAGCTTAATGTCCTCCATGTATTACTTGCTTACTAGTTTTCTTACTCACTAGATTGCTGCATTAAGAAGCAAAAGACAATTTTGTAAACCGATAAGTTATTTATGAAATGCTTTGCAGTCATCCATCCATCCTCTACTGCTTGTTCGGGTTGGGTTGTGGGGGCAGCAGTTTAAGCAAGGAAACCCAGACTTCCCTCTCCCTGGCCACTTCATCCAACTCCTCCGGGGGAAATCTTAAGGCGTTCCCAGGCCAGCCGAGAGACATAGTCCCTCCAGCGTGTCCTGGGTCTTCCCCGGGACCTCCTCCCAGTGGGACATGCCCGGAACACCTCACCAGGGAGGCGTCCAGGAGGCATCCTAAGCAGACGCCCAAGCCACCTCATCTGGCTCCTCTCAATGCAGGAGGAGCAGCGGCTCTACTCTGAGTCTCTCCCGAATGACCGAGCTCCTCACCCTATCTCTAAGGGAGAGCCAGGCCACCCTGCAGAGGAAACTCATTTCTTTGCAGTCACGTTTTACAATTTTTCCAAATATATAACTCATCCTAATTTCTTGTTTACACACAAGCTTGATTATTTTTTTCTGTCGTTAACTTTACTTTTCCCCAGCTCAAGCGAGCTGACCACCCAGCACAAAGAGTCTGTCAAGGAAATGTGCTTACGTTTGTGTTTCACCTGTNTGTCGTTAACTTTACTTTTCCCCAGCTCAAGCGAGCTGACCACCCAGCACAAAGAGTCTGTCAAGGAAATGTGCTTACGTTTGTGTTTCACCTGTTCCTAGCATACAAAATTTTAGCCCATGTTGTCATGGGGGCACTGCTCCCCCCCAGAACCCAGAACCATGCACTATGGGCAACTTAGAGTTGATTTGTAACTGATTAATCTAGCTGCATGCCTTTGGACTGTGAGAAGAAACCAACATATTTAGAGAAAGAAAACCTACTCAACTCTAAGAAAACATACCGACTCAGCACACAGAGCAGAGGCAGATTTCAAACCCCAAGCCCCGGAGGCATGGCGTTCTGTTACTCACTGAGTCACAATAATTTAAACACCTTCCAGCTAACCCTTCACATCATCCATACAGCACAACCAGGAACAAAGGCCAAACAAAGATAACAGAAATATGGTACAAAAAGTTTATTTAGTAAGAGGTTTGTAAACATTTGAGGTAAATGAACATTTATGTCAACTTGTTCTTACAAAAATTCATACAGAAGGCACTTCTTTTGAGACAGCATTTACAGAGGCTGCCATTGTTGGCAGATGTAGGTGATTGCCACTCCCTGACTGGCCAGAGGAATCTCATTCTGTACGAGAAATTCAAAGTCAAAAGCAGACCATCCTTATCCTAGGGTGGGTGAGTTGCTATTCTTAGACCTTGTCACCTATATGACTGCATGTGCACGGGTGAGGATTGTCGACTGGAGAAGACTCCTGTAAATAAAAAAAGCTGAGATGTTTGTGTGAGCGAAGTGGGCTGTGGGGAGTTTACGTACCACCTAATTCTTTCAGTGTTTGTTTGATGTCGTAAGGACACAGTAACATTATTGTAATGTTGCAAATGTATTAGAGGAGCTTCTTATTAATGCATTGAGCAACCAGGAAGAGTCTCTTGGTCATTATTCCATTGTTAAAATTCACACTTTCTGCAGTCATTTCAGACAATATTAAGAGTCCAATACTCAACAAATAAGCAACTTAAATTATCAGCATAATTTTAAATCACATTCAATATATAGTTATTTTAATACTGTCCTTAATTCTAAGAACCATTGTGTCTGCTATTAAGACATTCTCTTTTAAAGAGTCATAAACATTGCAGAATCTCGTCCATCCCTAACAATATGAATTTCATAAAACAGCATGTTTGTCTAAATGTGCAAATCTTTACCTAAATACTAAAATGTAAACTTTTGAAATCAGAGGACATAATACCACACTTTCTTGTTTTTATACATTGAAATGTGTGAAAATGAAAGTGCACGTACATCTGAAAGGAAAAAAATATTCATTGTTTCGCAACGATAAAAGTGACCAAGTCTTGAGAGAATCACGGTATATTCTCCCATCTGCCTCTGCATAGTACAGTAGCTTAAACTGATTAGTTCTTGTTTGGCGTTGCATATATTTCTATTTAAGTAATATTCAGACACCACTGAATAATGTGCAATGTACCTAAAACCAGGCATGAGAAAATGACAAAAAGAACATGTCATACATTGGCAGGCCACCTCATTTAGCACCTTTAAAAATTGGCATTTGTTAAGAAGTGAACTCTGGATAGAAAACAAAGGCAAAGTTCATGATGGGTAAAAGAGAAAATACCTACCACTTTTTTCATACCCCCTCCCCCCCCCAGAAAAGTGAATCCATAATTTAGATCACTGCTTTGGGAGTGTATTAAACATAGAAACACACAAAAGCTTTGCTAGATATTGATTCTGGTTGATAGACCCCACTTCTGTTGACACTATAAACCAATAGCAATTGAATTATCACATATACTATTAATCTACTTGTAGGCTACTAATCTATCCACAAGATTCTCCTTACTTAAAGAGGGATTAAAAATTAATAGCTCTATTGACAGTGGTTAGATTAAAAATAACAGTGCTCTCAGTCTTAAGGGTTTGTGTTTCATTTGAAATGATCAAATTATCTGATCTATTTTATTTTATTATTTAACTTCAGCAGATGAAGTCTGCAACTTAGCCTGAAGTTTGTACTGTCAAAGCCACTTTTCAATGGTTAATTGAAAAGTCATATTAACTGCAGGGTCTGGAGTTACAAATATTTTATGCTCGGTGATTTTCTTGCATAAACAGAGCAGATTCAATGTTTGGATTTCACTTTCTTTTCAGAATTGCACTGCAGCTGTATTCACGTTTTGCTCTATACGATGATATACATGTCTGTGTTATGAATATGTGGGAGGATGTGAACTTGCATGCTGACATGTTTACAGGTGTGTAAACAGCACAACTTGAGTGAACAACTGATCAATTTTCCATCAGCCTCATTTTCAATTAATAAACTAATTAACAAACTGCTCCATTGCTCACAGGAACATTTGTCTGAGCAGCTGATACCAGATGTAAAACCAAAACGGTGAAATGCACTCAAATTGTTGCCAAAGCAATGACTTGTAGTTTCACCTGAACAGGTATCACCTGCATCATCAAACACTGACGTAAAAGGCATCCTTCCTTATACAAGCGGCTGAGCTACTGCAAGTCCACACAGATAGTAATATATCTGCGTGTCCATTAATGTCCATTAATATAGTGGACAAAATCACAATTTGTACTGATAGATAGATAAAAATAAGAGATGAATCAACTTAAAAAATAAAAAAGATAAAAAGTAATTTCACTGAAATATCCATTTCCTGTAACTGCTTGTCCTACTCAGGGGTGTGGGGGAATCTGGAGTCTATGGGTGCAAGGCAGGGAACCACCCAGGATGGGACACCAACCCGTCACAGAGACACTCTCACCAGCAATGAGGTAACTCTGATTGACCTCAGCATGTTTTGGGAGTTTGTGGCAGGGGGGAACCAGGGTATGCAGAGAAAAGCCCACGACAACACATGGGAGAACATGCAAACTGCACACAGAAAGAGCCATGGTAGAGACTTGAATTCTGGTCCCAGAGGTGTGAGGCAACAGTGCTATAACCACTACACCACCCCAGCTTCAGCAAAACATTTCAGCAATAAAAAAATTGCAAACCGGGCTACCTGTTCCTCTAACGCAATGTCATAAATGGCAGTATTCCTTTATGAACATGCAGAGCATGTTTCATATATATTTCTTGCAGCTCAAGGAACAGGAGATTCTTAAATTTACCATTAAGGTAAATCTGATCTTATGACCCTGTGCGGTGGAGTTGTAAGGTCCAACAGCTGGCCCCTGTTTAGGAAGGCCAAACCCATCATTTACTGAGGGGAGCTGGACAGCAAAGGCTGTCCAGTGTTTTCTAAAATTCTCAGAAAATGACCAGTCAAACTAAACTCCCACTTCTTCAGAGGCAAATTGAATTTTCAGGATGAATAACTGAAACAGTTAACAGGTAAATTAACAGAAGAGGTTTCACTGAGACTTACCAGCCCAAAAACAACCTAGTGCTCAGAATGCTTTTCCAGAAAATGAAATAAAATAAATTAATAAAAGAAAGGGAAATACATATTTCTGCACAAATTTCCTGACAAATCTGGAAATGCTGTTGAGGTTGTCCCCTACATCTCTATCTTCCTGCTATTCAACCGGTCCTCAGGTAACATTTGCATAAGCACCACAACTCCACAGATGGACCTGTTCACAAGATACTACAATCCACCAACCACAATGCAATGCTGCTGTTTACAGATTTATGTTGTGAGATTTGTACCCTCCAGTGCCCTGCTTTATGCTATTTTTCATTCATCATTTCCACTTTTTATATAAAAGTGGGATGGGCAGAGACAGCTGTCCGGGCTAGACAGACAGGTCATCTGACCGGGCCCCGGCGTGGGCGGCCTTGTTGAGGCACCGCATGTCCGTGACACCTGGGGGTGGCGGCTTGTGCATCTCAGCGATGGTGGTAAAGTGGCCCTGGGCTGGGCCTCCCGCAAGGTCGCCTGCACTCCCCTGGCTCAAGCCGGCAGGTGTCAATGAATCTGCATTCTTGGCCGGCCACAACTTCTGGCCATCGTGTCTGCTGCTGTCAGCGGAAGAGGGTGAGGTGGCAGCGGAGGAGGAAGATGAAACTGACATGACCTTACTCTCTGCAGTCTGCTGCTCAACAGCCACATTAACCCAGTTATGATTGGAGGCCTGGTTGTTGTTGTTACTTTTATTTTTGACTGCTGCCCAGTGAGATCCCCTGCTGCCCAGGTAGACCGTCGAGGGGGGGTCCCGTATTTCCTCCAGGAGGGGATCCATCTTATACTTACCCACAGGTAGGAAAGAAGCACCCCCACTCACCACCGCTGCATCCCTGTAATTAGGCAGGTAGCCAAGGGTCTGGGCATCCATGCCTGCTGTGGGCTTGGGGGAGGCCAGTATCTCTTCATCCATGCCTGTAAGGAGCGGGGACTCACGCTGAGCTGGGAGCTCGTTGTTCATGCCCTGCTTGAGCTTCTTCCAGCCTAGATGGTAGATCTCTAGCAGGTTCAACAGTAGTGAGGCACAGGCTACCCCAAGCATGAAGATGATGAAGATGGTCTTCTCTGTGGGCCGGGAGATGAAGCAGTCCACGGTGTTGGGACAGGGCCAACGGGAACACTTATACAGCGGCCTCAGCCGAAAGCCATAGAGAAAGTATTGGCCCAGGATGAAACCAACCTCAAATACCGTCTTGAAGATAATGTTGAACACATAAGTACGCAGCAGAGCCCCACGAATGCGGACCTTGCCATGTTCATCTCGAATGGGCAGCTTCTCCTTCCTGCCCTTTCCACCATCATCCCTCCATGAGCTTTCTCCAATTTTATAGAGGAGCTCGTCGGCCTCCTGAAGGTGTCCTGCCTTGCGCAGCTCCTCCTCCTTCTGCTTCTCCTCCATGTGGATGATGTGGAGCACATGGCCCAGGTAAATAAGAGTGGGCGTGGAGATGAAGATGATCTGTAACACCCAAAATCGAATGTGCGAGATGGGGAAGGCTTCGTCGTAGCAGACGTTCTCACAGCCGGGCTGCTGCGTGTTGCAGCTGAAGTCGGATTGCTCGTCGCCCCAGACCTCCTCCGCAGCTGCCCCAAGCACAAGAATGCGGAAGATGAACAGCACGGTGAGCCAGACCTTGCCGACCACAGTTGAGTGCTCCTGCGCATTTTCCAGCAGTCGTCCCAGGGAGCTCCAGTCCCCCATCCTGTGTGATCTGTGCCCTGTTTGTGCCCTGAGAAGAAAGTGTGGTGTAGCGTGAGAGAGGGACTGAAGCAGGTGATGAAGTGTGTTTGGATTTGGGGGGGGGGCACTCCTTCCCTCCATCTTTCAACTACTTTCAGAACATGTCTGTGGGGGGGGCTATTCCAGACACAAAGCACAGGACCACCCTCAATGTCCATCACATTATACGATTATGCGCATTTATTTCTTAAGTCACAGCAACAGGTTATAGGCTGCTGATAACTTGGCTAGGTGGCCCAATGGTTAGGAAAGTGCCCTTGTGATTGAAAGGTTGCTTGTTTGAATCCCCGACTAGCAAGATACCAATAAGGTACCCTGTGTAAGGTACTGCTCCTTGGGCGATAAACAATAGCTACCCAATGCTATGTCACATAAGGTTTAATGCAGTGGATGCATTTTGTAGTGGCACACTGCGGTGAATCTACAATTAATCACTTTCACTAGATGTGTAATATGTTATTGCCTTTCTGGCTTCTGGAACAAGCTCAGGACCCCTACAAATCTGCACAGGGCAGGTGGGTATCAGCTGTGGATGGATATCACATTATTAATGAATTCCAATTTACTGTTACAATATCATATTATATAATATCATTATAATATATTATTATAATATAATTATGAAATGTATATGTCAGTACTATATGCAATCATTATACTTATTATAATTTTATATAATTTAGAGAGCTGTGGACAAAACAGTGGCTAGTACTATTGTCTCACAATTCCAGGTTTGGGGTTCAAACATTAAACATTACTATATGTTAAATATCTCTTTTTTTCCATTTTTTAAATTCATTTGCATATTATAGCAGACAGCAAAGTTCTCAGCAAGTACTAGTAAACATAATGGTAATGTTGGCTAACATAAAGTACAATTATCTAAAAAAGAAGAACACTTTTCATGGTATCGTATTACTTAAATTACCTAGCCTGCAATTTGCACAACAAAGTGCCCTGGATAGGTCGCATGTACTCTAGTGTATTTTAAAGTAGGCCTACCTCCCTCTTCGGCTCTACCTTCGGCTGTACCTGTTCGACAATTCTTCAAGCAGAAATGAATTCATTTATGTTACTTGTATTAATCGAACGAGTAAAATAAGTAATAACTGTTAATGAGAATGCAGTAAATAAAAAACGTTGATTTTTTAAAACTAAATTCTATATTAGATGCTTTACGCATGGACATATAATTTAAAGACAGGCCCAAATGCTTAAAATGGAAAACTTATTAATATGTCTTTGTATAATAAGCAACAAATACATGGACTGTGCTTGCGGTTAGTCATCTTAGGATAATGAATACATACACGCTACTCTAATTGTTCTGACAGGCAGAGTAATAGCATTTCCCAATACGATAACATTAACTACGTTTATTTGTGATTATGAGTAATGCGCTGCTCTAATTTGAACTTTTTATAAGTTACTTTTTATACTTTTATTCACCGGAGGTAGTCGCTACAGAAAATAACAATAGCCTATAATTTGTGTATATTTGTACTGGACTTTGTGAATTTTATTTGATTTTAATACGAGGAATATAGTCATGTTAATTTAAATAACAAACCGGCAATTGCTTTCTTGGAGTTGAAACATGCACACCGTTTTCGAAGAAAACAAAACTAAATTATTAAAACAATTTCAATTTGAATATGCTTATTATTGAAAAATGGTCCTGCCCCGGCCGAATGCCGGTCTCATCAAATTCCGAAGTGCTGATGAACGAAAACATTTAATCGGATGAACAGACGCTAATTGAATCAGACGTACTTAGCTGTACAAAAAGGAATGTATGCATGCGTTACATGTATAATGCTATACTGTTATTAACATATGTCGTTATAGGCTTAGTATAGTGTTTAGATAGATAGATAGATAGATAGATAGATAGATAGATAGATAGATAGATAGATAGATAGATAGATATGGTCATTTGCTATTTGGAATGGGAAACCATGTTATAGAGGTTAAAATAACGTATATGACTACTGTTATGATCTTATCACACATACAAACAAAAACAAAGACTAAATAAATTCTTGACGGTTCCTTCTGTGTAGTATTGTAACAATCACATACACAAATAGGCCATGAGCTAACAATATAAAGCCTTCTTTAAAACTTCTACACATTAATGGTATTGTGCACTGTAAGGACTTTTCAATTGAACTTTTGTGAAAATAATCCCATATATCCTTTATATATCATTGATTTTGAATAGTTGCACTAGGTCCCCTTACCCCCCCCCCCCCCCTCCGGGGCAGCCATTAAAAAAATGACTGGTATTATAGTCACTGTCAAGAATGATCAGAACACGTAAAAATCTAGTGGGAATTAGGCCTTTGTTAATATTTTATCTGTTAATTTTGCCATTATGTAAAATATAATATAAAATAAAATCGCTTGTTCTGTCACTGGTATTATAGTTCTAAAGCATCATTGTAATTTGATTATTTAAATGGAATTCCCACAGTAAATGCAGACATGTTAAAATAAATTTCAACATAAATAAATGTATATGACAAAACTGGTGTCTCAAGATGTCATAACACCAGTGACAAACTGAGCATTTAATGCACTTTGCGCTAAAATATATTTAAATATATTATATATATATTATTATTTGTGCTACGTTAATTTTGTCTATGCTAGATTATTTTGCATTTTCATTTTAGATGTACTATAATTATACTAATCTAATAATTAAATGTTACTTGATTAAGCGTTAAAACTATTTTGAATGGACATGTTAATAAAAAAATATTCACAGCGTCTGACACCCCGACAATAGGGAAATTTCTAGTTTGTCTTAGTGACAGCAGTGAAAAATATATGCAAACCATGTCCTTTTTGTCTTGTTCATTGTTTATAGCCTTTGGTCTGATGGCTGGCAGCAACAGAAACTTTTAATTATCAATAATAAAAATAAGTCAACGAAATATATGCAAAATAATGATACTGTATTCTGATGCGAGCAACCAATTCTGGATCCACCTGAAATAAAAGTCCAGCATGGAAAGTGAAGCCTTGATCGATAATCACTACCTTACATTGGGCTAGGGAACTTTAGAAACTGAAATCAATAGCTTTCTGCCTGCGGTGCTGTATTTTGAGGGCGTTGTATATCATACAAAGCGTACTAGGCAGCGTAACCCTCCCTTTTCCGCACCCACGCAATGAAGTCCTAGCAGCTGTTCCGCTTTACCAACTGTCTGGAGAGCTGCCACGCAGCCGACTTACTAAATCGCGGGTCTCCTTCACACGTGGATTCAGGTCTTGCGCAGAAGGCTAGTTTTTCGTGGCGTGTGGGATTCGAGATGGGATCCGTTGAAGCGCAGCAGCCGCCCGTCCCCAGCCATCGCGACTGTCACATTGCATGACCATGCATGATCGAATCACAAGAGTCATCAGACTGCAAGAGCACATGCCACGCCCATGCCCACCACCAAAAACTGATCACCCGGTCTGCGAATAGGCCCTACTCCAAGCAGCGAGAAAAATAGGCTCTAAAGTGTTTTATTTTCTGTGTTCTTGGACTGCTGTATTTATTGTTATGGAGTACTGGGTTATAAAATGTTACAGCTATTAATCAGTTGGTTAAATTGTCTGCTGTATGATGAATAATCAGAATGTATTCTGAATTATCGATTGATGTGTCTTAATTGAAAGTGTTGTTAAACGGCATTACGAATGGATATTAATTAAAAAAACGTGCATCTTACTGAACCTCTGTCCGTTGCAGGGACACAAGAAGATGTAAAAAGCAAGAAATACTAATAAAGGAAGCCAGAGAGCGCGAATGAGTTTTTTCCATGTACAGAATGTGTTGTCAATATGTTATAGTATACTGCACGTTTTGTATTTAATATTATCCTACAATTTTAATTACTTTTTGTAGACCTATTAGTCAGCATTTGATAATGAGGTACCACTTTTTAAGTCTATAAAACTATGGACGTGAATTATGCTGTTTATTGATTTAGGTTATATGAATGGAAAACACCTCATAGTTAGATGACCGAATCAAATTTACCTGGTTGGGGAAAAAAACGTCAAAACACCTTAAACTGTCTATTGTCGCCCTCTTCTGACCGCCCTCTGAAATTTTACACTGGCGACTTGGTTGCAACCGTGGGGAATACTGTAAACACGTAAATTTATCTAAATATTTCTGTGACAGTATAAAAGGCAATATCGTTAAATAACTCAGATACATGGATCATTAGACATTTCAGTAAAAACTATAATAAACACAAACTCCAAGGTGATACTTTTATTAAAGCCGTTGTAACAAAATGTTTTGTATTCGCACTGGAATAAAATGTAGCTTGTAGTTTGCATATACAAATTTTAAACAATGCAATTATAAACGATAAAATAACATAGATATGACCACTGTTATGGTCATATCACACATATAGGCTATGTATAGACTAAATAAATTTTAAACGATTTCTTGTGGGCAGCATGTGAACAATCACATAGTTTTCATTATTATGGACAAACATACAAGCCGTAAACTTACGTTCAGACTGCATATAGAAATCGCTACAGTTACGGTTCCCGACGAGCTCACTTGTCAGCATGTTCTCGCAGTAGGAGAATAACCTAGACTCACCGTCAGTCACTAACGACGAAATTTTCTAATTATTCTCATGTGCGCATATCACAAAGACTGGAAGATTGGGAGCAATGGCATCTGTAAGAGTATCGCAAGCTTCCAGACGGAATAAGATATATACTAGCAAGAGAATGCTGTATCAGTATAGCACCTTCAAACACTGAGCAGGCGAGAGGAGATGAATACCTTTAAATCGGAAAGCAAGGAGACATTACAGTGAATTATTTCTCAGATATCAATTTCAATATAATTAACTCCCTGCCCCTACTTTAAACGTTCAAAAAAAACTCAATAAACATGACTCTACTTGGTTATCATTGTAATCCTTTATCCTTCACATAATAAATTCTTTACTAAACTAGACTTCTTGGAGGAAGGCTGGTGTAATAGTAGGCTACTAGCAAGTCAAAGGGTACACGACATACACCTGACTGTACGATAACAGTTTGAGGCATGTGGCTTTGGTTTCTTGGACTTGGTGTAACTGGTTAAGTATAGTTCTTTAACTGTTATACCAACTAGAAATCCATCAACAAAAGAACAGGAGCTGAGTATTAGCCTATTTGCTTTCTAACACTGAACGCCAATTTCATTGATCCACAAGCTGAAAACTACCTAAGTCCTAAGCCATACCTACTTATAGAGGCAGAGCCACACAAAATTAAATACTTCCCTTTTGACTGAGCAACTGACACAGTTAAGTTCACTGAGAGAAAACATTTAATAATCCTGTCAGATTTTTTCCTGCAATTTAGCCTTAGACCCAAATTTATTCATCTGCTTTCAATCATAAGTGAAAGTTTGGGATGTGAAGGTGTTTTAAGTAACATAGAATATGGAGGGTGTCAGTTAGCATCAATGACAAAGGCAATCCTTCTTCAGATTCTGACTTTTTCATAGCCATCTTTACGAAGTTATTGCATCGCGGAAAGTGCTTTTGTTACACGGCAGGGTATCTAACACTTCAATTATACGGAAGGAATACTATGGGTCTGTGTATTTGCAAGTCTTTGTGTAATGCTAAAGTGCACCACTAGATGTCCCCACGAGGACAAGCCCTCTGGCTCAAGTCACTGATTTGGCAGTTGAAGTACTGAAAAAACGAGAAAAAAAGGAAATCAATCGCATCTCTGTGAACATAAACTAAACCAGCACTTATTTCACGTTTTATTTGGAGTGGCGAGGATAGAAATTATAATACAAATAAAACAAAAAGCAAGCAAATACAAATGGTCCTATCCAGTCTTCTTGTGAGAGAGTAACAAAGCTGGATTGTGGGGAAGTTAAGCCGTTAAGGTGGTGGACAACAACCTCTCATTCCGTATGTTCTGTCGGCAGGCCTTATCCTTGACCCTTCTATCTGAGGCAGCATAAGAGTCCCCAGAACACCTAATCAGTGCCTTAGCAATCAGGTAAAACAGCTCTGCCACATTGAGAACGATGCAAAGGCCCGAGGAAGCCACCATGAAGATGGTGAAGATGGTCTTTTCTGTTGGACGGGAGATGAAACAGTCAACCTTGTTGGGACATGGCCACTGCTCGCACTTGACCAGCCGCGGCATTCGGAAGCCATCGTAGACAAAGTAGAGGCCGTACATGAAGCCCGCCTCAAATATCAGGCGGAAGAGCAGACTCATGGCGTATGTCCACCAGAGTGGCCCAGTAATGGAGATGCGCCTGTTTTTCAGGGTTTTCAGGTCATCCTCAGCTTTGTCGCCCCTGGCGCGGAGGATGCTCCGCTTGGCTTCACGCTTGCTGTAGGCCACATGCATCGCCACAAGCAGTGCAGGTGTGGAGACGAAGATCAGCTGAAGACACCACAGACGGATGTGTGAGACGGGAAAAAAATGGTCGTAGCACACATTCTTGCAGCCGGGCTGTTGCGTGTTGCATGTGAAGTCAGACTGTTCATCGCCCCACACGCTCTCTGCCGCCACCACCAGAATCATGATGCGGAAGATGAAGATCACTGACAGCCAGACCTTTCCCAGGCTGGTGGAATGCCTGTTCACTCCTCCTAGCTGCACATACAGCGCCGCCCAATTCATGCTGTCTGCAGCACCTTACGGCTCCTGCAAGGGTTAGGGTTAAGAGTTCACAGGGTAAAATAAAGAAAAAAAAACAGGCACAAAATTAAAACAGAGCTTATTCCAGTTCACACAAGTATTTACTTTTAGTTGCTCGCCTAGTATAATAATTTCGATCAGACCAAGAGCTTTGAAGATGTAAGGGTGGGTGTACGTTCCCCCTAAGGCTTCTATTCATAGCAAGACCGTCTTACCCACTTGTACAGATGAGTATTGTGCTAGGGTACTTCCCATTAAATCTCAGTGAAAGTTACAGCAGCTGGACATGAGCTGGCAACGTGCTGCACTGCAGTCATAGTAAAAACTTTACTTCACTGATTTCTAAGCCTCGTTATGTCCGAAGCTTGTAAAGTATGCACTGGTAATTTACGAGCAATCGACACCACTCATTAAAATGTGCGTCGAAAACAAACAAACAGTATTGTTTTATAACATAGTTCGTTAATGAATCATTTCTCCGAAACAATGCCGCATAACATATAATTACCAATGACGGAATCTTACGAAACAAACGAATTTGTGCTGAATGCGCGTTATATGCACGTCTTCAGCCCCAAACGTTTATGCCTTAAAACCGCATTCGTTACATCAATAGAACAAAAACTCCGCAAACCAAGGACATATTTAATTAAGAAGTAGTGCTCAATAGCAAGGCTGGCCCGCCCTATAGGCCGATCGCCTACGGCACCATTTGATTAGGGGGCGCAAGAGAGAGAGTTTAATCATTAGTAATACCTCTGGTTGCATTCTGTGACATTACAGTTATTTACAGTAGATGTAATATTTCAATATTTTTCTTGTGAAACAGACGCGAGGTACTGAGCAGCCAAATACCCCGTGTTACTGAAATGTTTTTAATATAGCGGAGTCTCGCCTACGGCGCAAGAACACCCAGGGCCGGCCCTGCTAAGTAGTGATACATCTCAAATTGTCATTTATTACCTCTCATCTTTAACTAAATCCTCGCTATTAGACGGTCATTGTCACTTCATTATTGTAATGTGTAATTAATCTTGCAGGTTAAGTGCCACCCTCCATACGCCAAGCGTTTTTTGTTCATCCCAGTTATGTCAGATTCGAGGAAAAAAGGACACTGATTATTGAGCACAATATCATATAGCAATTTTTCAGCGAGAGTTTGTAGTTGGTTTTACAGTGAATGTAAGTGCAAAGTATTTTAATCGAAGCTGGTACTGCAATTACAATTACATCCTAGATAAACGATTGACCAGAAGAAAATGTCGGCTGAGCTATACATCAAGAAAACTGTGTTCTTGCTTTAGTTTAAAGAAGCGCTGTTAATATCGACTCAACCTGCACAGGACAAAATCATATTTTTAAATTTCTGAATAGCTTTTGACCAGAATAAAACCCGTGTTTTATAGGTCGGTACGTGATTAAGTAAACAAATAGTTTCTGAGGCATAAATGGTTATTCTTTCATGAAGATTGGAGTAATGTATCATATAAACCATTTATTTTTAAGCATTTCGTCCAAGTCAATACTTATGTGGTAGCGTTGTGTGGATATAAAACGTCTTAGTAAAAGTTTTGTTATTTCATAAAATAACTACTCATTGGTCGGAATATCGTAATGCCTCAATATACAATTATATAATAAGTAAATCAGACTGCCCTAATTTGTCTGTCTTACCTTCGTCCAGGTTTCAGCACACATCCATCAAAATTCAGCTCACTCTTCGCTGCCGCGACGTACGCGAGTAAGCAGAGTGAAATTAAGTAGCAATTATCAAATGTCAGACACCGACGTAAAACAGGTCAGATTTACTTATGAAGTTTTAGACGGCTCACTTGATCTGCCAGTTCTCCCTCTTAAGTGTCCACCTGCTTTAATCTGATGAGGGCGGGGCAAATTCTGGCACAGTACATTATGAATGCAGCTTTTTTTTTTTTTTTACTTTCCACTACTTATATAGTCCTAGAAAAAATACGTTTAATATATTGTTTCACATAGTCTATTCACAAATCAGTCTTGGATGAGGTTCTCTTGTTACGTCTTACATGCTTAAACGTATTTGCTTCAATGAAACCCCCACGGGCATGTGAATTTGGTATGGTAAACGGTGAATTAAATGAAAAACAAATTAACTACATAAACAAAACATGTTCCGGTGGAATGACTTTCAACATTTTTTTAATATTAGCCTATAGCGCACTTCTATCACATCCGACGATATCAAATCAGCAACAGGAGAAACTGTTAGAAATGGTCATGTTATAAAGCACACTACATAACGCTAAATCAAAATACTACCAAACCATATTGGATAATTTATTTCAAAATTAAGTAATGCGGCTTAATCAGTATTTCATACTTAGACGAATACTTTCATATATTTTTCTTTTTCTGTTTGTTGGATGTTAGAAGGTATATGAGCTATTTTAACGACGTTAACCATTTAGTTTATATTAATGACACAATTTCTAAAAAAAAACGCATCGCACCAATTAGGCTGTTCAAGCCAGTATCGTTCAATTACATGAAAAAATAAGCCAACGATTAAATCACGAATTTGCACAAATTAAAGGATAATTATGCAATTTGTCTAATTTATTAAATATTACTGAATGGCTACATTGTTTTATGATAATGACGATTAAATTTGTTCTTGAGTTTTATTTTTTAGTCCTTTGAATTAGTTTGGAAAAACAATTACCCCTGGCACAACTTGTACCAAGCTGTGAGGGGCGATAAACCCACCTGTAGGATTTTGCTCTAACCATTGTATATTTACCGTAAAACGATTCACTACGTTACGTGAAATTAACTGAGAAAGATTTTCTACCGCCGCCCACTGCCCTCAAACAAACCAAACGGTGTTTAACCACGTTCTGCAATGCTGGAACCATAATATTTTAAAGACATAGAAGATACTAAATCTGATATGGGGATGAATAAGAATTTCCTTTGACTGAAAAGGTATGCTGTTTCTTCCTTTTGCTTTACCGTGAATTTACCCATTCAAGGTTAAAGGCTAAGTCATCAACCTCGTGCCATTGCCCACTACAGCTTCCTGCATGCCAGTCTCCATGAGGGTGAGTTTTGTGACGAATTGTAAGTGCAGGTGCTGTTCTCTCTCTTTTGCTGTTAAAAAGCTTAAACTTCACATTATTAGTCATTGAATGCAGAGTCTATCGCGGACCCCTAAAGAGTCCACGTTTTTGCAAGCTTTGTCTGTGGGGTGTGGTCCGCTATTTATGAATTTCATTTTTGTAGTGAAAACGGGCATTTTGGTGCTCTGTGAAGAACCCCAGTAAACAGGAGAAAATCTTATTGCACTAATTGCATTTTGTAATTGTAATATGGTTCCATAGGCTAGATGTCTGTGCCTGTGATTGGTAAGTTGCCAGTGCAAATCCTACATACTGATTTTTCTGATGGGCCCTTGAGGAAGACTCTAACCCCCAGTTTCCCCAGGGATGCTGATCCTGGTCTCTCAATAAATGTGTGTCATTTTGGGCAAGTGCCTTCTAAGTAAAATGTGAATTAATAATTAATAATTGTTTTGTATTAATCAAGGGAGTTAAGTCAAGGTGAAAGAATGTATAATAAAAAAGACTCACAAGAGATTCACAAAAAGGTTATTGATGGTCTTGTTTGATCATGATTGAGTTTTAAAACTTAATTATCAAGTAGCCCTGTAAACAGTTCAACCACAGAGCAGCATAGAGGATAGAGTAGATTTATTGATATTCTGACCTTCCAGGACTGGGGTATAATTACATCATCCATTGAAACCAAATCTTAGCATGATGATCAGTGTGTTCATTTTTGCATTTCTCTACCAGCTCACAAAGTATTTCAGAAACTTGACAACATACCTCAAAATCCTTAATGTGTTGCCATTCCACTATAGGTACAAAGCCTAAAAATACCACCCAATATCCAAGATGAAGATGTTAATTCCCCTGGGCTGACAAAAGAGTAACATGTCGGTCCTCTGTCCCACTTTGGGAAGCAGATCTTTGGTAAGAGAAGGAAAGCTGCCAGCACGACTTAAGTATTAGATTTCCGATCCAAGTGGCAGCCTTTTGGAGACTAAGATTTTCTGCTTTTGTTTACTATGGTGAAAGCACTTCAAAGATAACTGCTAATGCAAAACATTTTATTCCCAACTTCATGAAGCAGACAGAAGCAGGACTTTGTTCAAAATAACACTGAAAGACAACCATGACATGGACAAGTGGTTGAAAGGTGGATTGGTTTGATGGATGGATGGATTGAACTAAATTATTTAATTGCTAATCAGCATACCAAAGCAGGACACACACACACACACAGGTTTGCAATTTTATCTTTGTGGGGACTCTCTATTAATTTTTATGGGGAAAACCCTAATCCCAACAAGAACAACCTTAACCCCTACCCAGCCCTAACCTTAACCATAAGTAACCAAACAAAATATGAGACTTTTGGCACTTTTAGTTTTTTCATTGCATTCACAGACCTTTGCGGGGACCTGAAAAATGTTCCTCGTAATGTAGTGTGAACATAATGTATGTATGTCTTTGTGGAGACTCTCAGTTCATTTCTATGGTCATAACCCTAATCCAAGCTATGGAAACATACCCAGCACTAACCTTAACTGTAAGTAACCAAGCAGAATAGAAGACTTTTGGCAATTAGTTTTTTGATTGTGTTCAGAGATTTTTTATATGAATATTGCACTTTATATAGCACTTTTCAAGAGACCCAAAGTGCATTACAGAAACATTGGGGAGCCACTGCAGCCACCACCACTATGTAGCCCCCACCTAGATGATGCGATGGCAGCCATTTTGTGCCAGTATGCACACAACACAGTAGCTAAGGTGGTGAAGGGGACGGAGAGAATTCACTCCTTAGATGTAGGGGATGCATAGGAGGCCAGATCTGATAGGGCCACAGGTGGCAATTTTAGCCCGGGGTACCACCCCTAATCTTTCAAAAGACGCCCAGGGATCTTTTGTGACCTCAGAGAGCCAGAACCTTGGTTTTACATGCCTTCTGAAGGATGGCACCGTTTTTTACAGCACAGTGTTCACGTCATTGCACCGGGGCGTTGGGATCCACACAGACCACAGGATGGGCTAACCTGTTGGCCACACCAGCAACACCTCTTCCACCCGCTTTCCAAGGTGTTCTCCTATTCAAGTAATGACCAGGCCCAAACCTCCTTAGCTTCAGGGGATTAACTAGTCTGAACTACAGGTGGTATGGCTGGTTGGCATGTAACCGTGTTACACATTGACAAGACAAAAAAATGGTCCCCCTAATGCCAAAATAAGTTGTTTTTTTTTACCTCATTGTGGGAATATTTGGCCCCACAACATAATATATACCTAACCCGCACAAACATGCAGAAATATGTATTCAAAAGCCATTCATGCATGTGTATGCATTTTTAGAAACCCTTCACAAACAAAACACACACATACAGAAAGAAGCATACACTGTAGACAGAAAGACACAGCAGTACAAAGGAGGCTCAGTACACCGTTTTTGTATCATTCTTCATTTACACGAATCTGAGTAGGGTCCAGCTCTTGGGTTACTGATGTGAGAACCACATTCAGTTGGAGATCAAAGGGGACTGTTGTTTTCTCACAGTCTAACAGAGCATACCAATCCAAGAAACTGGGCTCACCTTCATAAACTCCAGTGCTGCGCTCTACCCCATTTCTCCACAACCGTTTCTGTACAAAAACTGGTGGTAGTAGTCATCAAAATATTGATGGTATGCAGCTGCAAACTGCTGTAGTAATAATATTCATTATGACCCCCCTGTGATGTCACAAGGCCAAAGGCAGACAGTGCTGATCTAAAGGTTCTCTGTCTCAATTAAAGACAGGAAGCTATAAAGAGGCCCATTGTGTAACAGAACATAAAATAAGGTTAAACTGGCTGGAACTGAAAGAGCTTAACATGGTGCTATAAAGACCTAAAATCAATTTAAATATGTGAATTAAAATACTGAAGCCAGCTCATTGTAACCCTTGGCTTGGCAGTTAAGACAATTTCAGAAAGCATTTTGTCCCTTGACTTCAAGCAGCCAGTTTATCCCTGTCCCCATCTCAGAGCTGAGCGGTTTCATCAGGACTGGCTTGACTTCTTTAGCTGAGACATCTGTAGGCATGGGCTGGTGATTAATTTCCACAGTAACACACAGTCAGCAAAGCTCTCGTGCCTCGTCTTCTACCTCCCAATGGCTCACAATAGACAAAAGTGCATTATGTTTAGGATTTTTTCATTAACTGGCACACCTGTGAGGTGTGTCTTAAAGCTACACACAAAGCAACAAAGATGCACTAAATTACCACAGGGAAAGCCAAAAACAACCCGCTTCAAAATCACCCAGACTCTGGTTGTTTGCTCGAGTCGGGTCCATGACCCCATAGCGTTGAAACAATCAAGCACCCATTACAGATTTCCTAACTGCATTTTATTCTGCAATGTCCTCAAGCAGAGACAGAGGTTTCTGAGAACAGCGAATAGACCATGTGACATACGGATTGGGCAGGGAATATGAGATTTCCCATCAGGGTTTAGAGGGATGGGAGGAGCAACACAATACAGAAAGGAAACCCAAAAATAAACAAAGGAGTCATACCAGCTAAGATAAAGACAAAGACACGCACACTCGAACAAAACTGAATCACTGCAGTATCTGCAAAGGATGTCAGGAGTTTCTTTGTGGTCACTGGGGGGCAAGAAAGAACAGAATACACCAAAATATGAAGGAGGGATGGGGGATGAATAACAGAACAGCCCCTGTCACCTGACTCTCCCACCCAGGAGAGCCACGCCCCCCCCCCCTTCTTAAGGCTTTTGTTCAGCAAAACGACAGGAAGAC